GGAGGAGGCAAATGATAAATAAGTAAATGAATTAATGGAAGCATCTGAGAGAGAGAGAGCAGGGCTATGAAGAAAATAGGGAAATGGGATTGAATACGTGTCAGTAAGGAGAGGGTGATGGGGGTGGCCTACCTGGGTTAAGACGGTCAGGGAAGGGCCCCTGAGGAGGTAGAATTGAGCGGAGCCTTGAGAGATGAGGACCCAGCCTTGATATTACCCCCAGGTGGAAGACTAAGGGCAAAGGTTAGAAGGGGAAAGGATGGGAGATGTTTAAGACAAAGGAAAAACTACAGTTGTGACCAGAGCACAGTGAGTGAGCGTAGCTATAATAGGAGACACAGGTAGAGAGGTGTGCGAGCCTTTGGATTTAAGGGCATCCAGGTAGCTGCCCTAGGGGAAATGGACTGCAGGAGTGAGAAAGGAAGCAGGTCCCCCAGAGGCCCAGGCTGTGGGAGGAAAGTCATCCCAGGCAGACGGAGGCTGGAGGAAAGCAAAAGACAGGGCTGGGAATGCAAATTCTCCAAGAGCAGCAGTTCAATACAGGTATTGATCAACTTACAACCTATGCAACTTACGACCATTCGACTTTACGACCACAATTGCTAACCATGACTGCTCTGCGTCTGGCAGCGCAAACGTTGCCCAGCTGGGCATACGACAGTGCGGACCAGCTTCCAGCAGCACTACTATCTCCACGTGCACCATTTCAACTCTACATATAGCCTACTCAGCTTACGACCAAATCGTGTTACGACCCGTCTGCCGGTCCCAATCGTGGTCGTAAGTCGAGCACTAGCTGTAAAGGAATATTAGTTGGATTTGGGCAGGGCACGGTAGCTCATGCCTGTAATCCCAGCACTTTGGGAGGCTGAGGCAGGTGGAGTCAGGAGATTGAGAGCATCCTGGCCAAGGTGGTTGAAACCCTGTCTTTACTAAAAATACAAAAATTAGCTGGGTGTGGTGGCACGTGCCTGTAATCCCAGCTATTTGGAAAGCTGAGGTAGGAGAATCCCTTGAACCAGGGAATTGGAGGTTGCAGTGAGCCAAGAACGTGCCACTGTACTCCAGCCTGCTGACAGAGCAAGACTCCATCTCAAAAAAAGAAAAAAAAAAAAAAGAAATATTAGTTGGATTTGAATTCTCAGCCATACTGCAGCTTCATCCCCCCAACAGTGACCCAAGTGTCACATCCCACACACCTCTTCGGAGGAGGCACTCAATAAAAACACGTTGCGTTGAATGCCAGTTAGTCACTCTGACAGTACTCCTGTCTACATCGGTGGGAATAATTGAGAATTGACGTTTCTACCTGACAAGGCATCGGCCCTGACTCTGCAGGTGTGGTAGAGATCTCAGTTTAAATGGCTTGCTCCAAGAAAGTACCAAAGAGGAGCACGAGGGCAGAATTATCTGATTAGGCAATGTGGAACTCTGCCTATTCCCTAGGCTGGGCCCCAGGCCCTTGGCAGCAGCAAGGAGCTGAGCACATTTGCTGGGAAACAGCTTCCTCCACACCTTCCTGACAGTGGGAAGTCCTCAGACTTACCTGCACCTCATATGCACTACTGGGGTTTTGTTGTGACTTTTGATGGTAAGCAATAGCAAATGGAGCCAGGTGATCTGAGCTAATCCTGTTTGCCAACTGCATAATGTGTCTTCCAGAAATGTGTTTTGAACCAAGTCCTCTTTAGAAAGGACATGAATATATGAATTAGAATATAAATTTTAATGCATGAATTTTAAATACATGAATTAAAGAATAATACCAGATAGTATATGATCAAGTACCGAGTTACACTATTCAGGTTATAAAATGTGTAATACAGATATTGGATGGCAAAGGTGGCCAACAGAGAGCTTCCTGGACCAGGCAAGGGACCTAGGTAGGTGAGGTGTAGGGGACAGGGACTGGGTCCAATTGGAGAATACATTTCACCTGCAAGGCAACTACCACTTCTCTCCAGCAATTTATTGCCATCCTGGAACATGGGTCTGATGGTCTCGTATCTTTATTTTATTTATTTATTTAGAGACAGAGCCTCTCTCTGTCACCCAGGATGAGTAGCTGGAATTACAGGCATGACCCACCACACCCGGCTACTAATTTTGCATTTTTAATAGAGAGGGGTTTTCACCATGTTGGCCAGGCTGGTCTCGATCTCCTAATCTCAAGTGATCTGCCTGCCTTGGCCTCCCAAAGTGCTGGAATTATAGGCGTGAGCCATCACACCCAGTCAAGTATCCTATCTTTAGATTTTTCAAATGAGGCTGGAAATGTGAATTTTTATGTGATATCTCCCAAGTTTTCAAAGTTTTGACAACTAGCTTAAAATTATTCAACAACTATTTGAGATGAGCAAAGCATTTTGAGAGCTATGCTATAACCTCTGACCAAGTGCTCTAGGTGACAAGATGGAGGATGAACCCTCAACAGGCATTGGTGGAAGAATCTACACCAGAGGCCAACTCTCAAAAGACATTTACTCACTTACTCACTCACTCACTGACTCATAAAACCAGGATGCAATTCTTGACCTATGGCCAAATTTTCCCCTAAGGCATCCATTAAGCATTTATTGAGTACCCACTTAGTGCTAGGCATTCAGATATAAAATAACTCGGGGCTCATTCCTTCTGAGACTTTATAGTTGGTCATTTCAAGATATGTTGTTGAGCCGGGTGTGGTAGCTCACGCCTGTAATCCCAGCACTTTGGGAGGCTGAGGGCAGGCAGATCACCTGAGGTTGAGACTTCGAGACCACCCTGACCAACATGGAGAAATTCTGTCTCTACTAAAAGTACAAAATTAGATGGGCATGGTGGCACATGCTTTGCTCATCTCAAATAGTTCGATTGAACCCGGGAGGCGGAGGTTGCGGTGAGCCGAGATGGTGCCATTGCACTCCAGCCTGGGCAACAAGAGCGAGACTCCGTCTCAAAAGAAAAAAAAAATTTTTAAAAGATAGTTCTTGAGCCACTATTATGCACCAGAGAACAGCTCATCAAATGAAAAGGAGAGACACCTAGACAGCTTGGCATTGCTTCCTCACCCGCCAGATCTCTGACCCAGAGTGCTGGTAGCAAATTGTCACACTACTGTGTCCTTCTCTCAACTCAGTTCTCCCGTCCCCAGCCATCTCAGTAGCACCTAGGAGCAAGTGGCCTCCCAAATCAGACAGTAGCAGAAGTCTCCCAATCTGATAAACATAGGATGACCAGCCATAATCTCTATAAGCCTAACTCTTGTCTATAATGGAGATCATATGATGGTGATGAATATCATTCAGGTAACAGCAGCCCCCAAACCATTTGCAATCAAATGTCTGGGGTGTGGGGGACTCATCAAGTCACATGTGCCTGAGGTCTTGGGACCCAGCTAGTGAATAAGTCTAAAACACCTCTAAGATGGAGCACTCTTCAGTCTGAAACTACTGAAATAGCATCCACACAGCACCCAGTAGGCTCACATTGGCCAAACTTATACTGTGATCTCAGGCTTGCTGAAGGACTAATTTCTAACCCAGCCCTGCCAATATTGATTGTTTGTACTCAAAATTACATAAGTAGATTGATTTTTATTTTTTTCTCTCAAACTGGAAAGGATCACAGTAGTGCTAGTATATTCCTGTTTCCACTTGCTGGTTATACACACTGGAAAAAAAAGTCAAAAGAAAGCAATGGAAGACGGAGTACAGGTCTTGAATTGCATCCTGAAGTCCCCCACGAATTAGTTTGGGTGTTTGCAGTGGCACCTAAACTTGTTTATTGTGAACTGAGCTGTTAATCCTCCACCCTCAACCGATCCATTATAAACAACAACGACAACATAAAACACTTCAGTAGCCTACATTTTAGATAAAAGAAACGAAACCAGTGGGGGGATGGGAGTGTCCTTTTGTGGTGGAGGTTAGGAAGCAGCAGTGGTCTCCTGTCACTTCCCTAAGTCAACAGGAAGGAACTATATCCTCCAGGGGCCTCTGCTAAGGACAATTAGGCAATTCCTGCATCTCCTAGCCCCCCCCAAAAAGCTGTCAGAGCTGCACAATTTCTCTCGCTACCCTACGAACTGGTACCTCCCTGGAAATAACAGTTTATGAACTTTGTACTAACTTCCAGGGACATCTAATAAACACAGCGGTGGTCTTGGGACCCAGCCAGTGAATAAGCCTTCGTTCTGTTTTATACTGTTTCCTTTCTGCAATTTTCTTTTCTATCCCAAAGTTTCTCATTACTAATTCTGAAAACACCTCTGAGATGGAGCACTCGTCAAGCCGTTCTGGTACAGAATCCTTTCTTGCGGCCAGGTGCGGTGGCTCATGCCTGTAATCCCAACACTTTGAGAGGCCAAGGCGG